ATCCAACAGAACTGCTCGTCAGGCTGGCTATGGCGATGCTGAAGTCCACACCAACACCAACAAGGGGTCGCGTGGTGGTTGTGAATCTTGCTGCATTAAAGGAGCTGCGGGTCCTGGAGGTGTCCCTGGAGCACCTGGAAAACCTGGTAAACCTGGAGCACCGGGCACACCAGGCAACCCTGGAAAGCCTCCTGTTCAACCATGCAACCCTATCACTCCACCCCTTGCAAGCCTTGTCCCCAGGGACCACCAGGCCCACCGGGTCCACCTGGACCGTCAGGAGACGCAGGTGCTCCTGGAAAGCCTGGAAATGCAGGAACTGAAGCTGCATCAGGAGCACCCGGCCCCAAAGGACCACCTGGACTGCCCGGTGGAGATGGTAAACCAGGAGCGAATGGTGAAGCCGGCACTCCGGCTGAGTCTGTGCCTCTAGTTCCAGGAGAACCCGGACCTGCCGGATCACCTGGTCCAGCAGGAGAGCCTGGACCAAATGGACAACCAGGAGATGCCGGGGCTCCTGGACCTGCTGGTCCCAAAGGGCCTTCTGGATCACCAGGCAAACCTGGAGCTGATGGTAACTCTGGAGCGCCTGGTCAAGCTGGTACAGCAGGATCACAAGGAGAAAAAGGAATTTGTCCAAAATATTGCGCTATCGATGGTGGAGTGTTTTTCGAGGACGGAACTCGACGATAGATTCCTGATCAATACGCCAATAAATCTTTACATAGCATGATGTAGCACACCATTTGGGAATTCCACACACAGTCACAGCACTCGCTAGACACACTACTTTAACGTGGTTGGCAAGTGAGGTCGAATTCTGACCATTTACGTAGAACATTGTGTGTCTCTCATGGAGGGTTAGAAAGCCTAAATCGGTTTACTGGTCGCAGGGAACGCGCGACCCTCTCACAAGGAAAGGCTCTCAGGTCGCCATGGCCATTCAAGAAGAGATGTATACCGCTAGATGTGCCTTTGAACGCTGATCTCAAATCTACCTTCCAAATCTGCTAAACGATTCTCTGAAGGGAGTTATGAAGCAAAACAGCGCAACGGCAGTGGTCGGGATTTGCAGTCAAAGGATCGGCCCCTGATCGCGTTTACTGTTTTGCCTTCTTCAGGAGCCTATTTAGCCTAATCCTGAAGAACGCAAGACAGTAAACGCGATCAGGGGCCGATCCTACGACGTTTTGACTGCAAATCCCGACCACTGCCGTTGCGCTGTTTTGCTTCATAACTCCCTTCAGAGAATCGTTTAGCAGATTTGGAAGGTAGATTTGAGATCAGCGTTCAAAGGCATATCTAGTGATATACATTTCTTA